CACTTTCTAACACTCCCCCCCCCCCCCTCGAGGTCTTTTGATAGGGAAAGAGCCTCTCTTTTAACGAATATGTAAACATCACCAGATTCTCACTCTTACCCATGCCTTGCTCCCTCTCTATTCGATGCTGTTCCAGTCTAGTTCACCAGAACACCCCCCCCCCCCCCCCCCCCCCCCCCCCCCCCCCCCCCCCCCCCCCCCCCCCCCCCCCCCCCCCCCCCCCCCCCCCCCCCCCCCACCTCCCCCCCCCCCCCCCCACCTCCCCACCCTCCCCCCCCCCTCCTCACCCCCCCCCCACCCCCAATCCCCTAATTCATCTTTCCCTCCCCCCTATACTCCTCACCCTCGCCCTCCTCATCCTCATACTCTTCATATTCCTCCTCCTCCTCATCATCAATAATAGCCTGCTCATTATCATCCTCATTCTCCAACAACGTCTCCCCCTCAGCGTCGGTAGTCTCATCCTCGAGATCCGTATTCCCCGAAATAAGCAGACTCCGCAAATCATCCTCGCTGAGAATCGTCTCAATACTACCCCTCCGGATCCAAGGCCTCGTCTCCCTACGCCCTTGCTCAATCAATCTCTCAATCTTGAGTCTATTCCCGACAAACTTCAGAATCGGGTACCCGCGCTGCTGACCCTCGTGAATCATGCGCGCCAACCGCGGCGGGTCCGGATCCGAAAGGATATGCACGAAATCAGAAGGCACAGTCTTGGGCCAGATGGTGATTGTGCCGCTAAACGTCTGCAAAAACAGCTGCGACCAGTCCTGACCCAAAGGTCGGGGCAGCAGCTCGGCGTGGCGGATGAACTTGAGCCATTTCGTCATGTCGAGCTTGAGGTAGTGCTCCACCGCCGACATGACGTACCCGCCGCGCCAGCCTTTGCCCTTGCGGTGCGTGACGGGGTGGCCCACGGAGCCGCGCGAGGAGAAGAAGAAGAGGTTGATGTGCGGGTTGACCTGGCTGACAATCGTAAAGTTGACGTTGAAGTGCAGGTTGAGGGCTTTGATGGGGATATCGGTCCGCAAACTGCCGTCCTTCCACTTGTGCCCGAACGAATAGGGCACCAGCGTGCCGTCGCGCTGCTTCATCATCAGCACGACAGGATTCAGAATGCCCGGGACGGCGGCGGACGCCAGTACGGCGGACCAGATGACGCAGTCCGGACTGGTGAGGTAGTTGCAGAGGATGGTGGGCGAGTGCGGGTCGGCGGGCACGCACGAGACGTTGAGGATGCGGCCGGTGCGCTCGTACGCCTCCCGGAAGGTCATGGACCCCCTCGTCCACCAGCTGCACTGCTTGGCCCAGTCGACCGAGTCGAAGCGGGCGCCCGTCCTCCACCACCGCGGGATCCAGGTCCAGAACGTCTCGCGGCAGGCGGTGATGCGGTGCGCGAGTGCGGGCACGAGAAGCTGCCTAAGCTCGTCGTCCGTCCGGGTGGCCACGAGGGCCGCGACCAGGGCGCCGCCGCTGGTGCCGGTGATGACGTCCGGGAGCAGGTCCGCTTCGAGGAGGGCCTTGATGACGCCAAAGTGGTAGTAGGCGAAGGACGCGCCGCCCGAAAGGCAGAGGGCCGTCCGTCCGTAGTTTGCGTGCATGCCCTTGAAGATGGAACGCTTCTCCTCCATGGACAGTTGCTTCGTGCTCAGAATGAACTTGATGCTCCTCTCGACTAGACGCAGTCAGTCAGTCACCCAGCTAGCATCTTGAAAACACCATGGGCAGATACATACCTTCGTCGATAAAGTTCTGCACCAGGTTCTTGGTGCCATAATACGTCTGGCTATACAGTCTGGGATTCTCAACGCCCACAAAGTTACTCTTCACACACGCCGACAGCAGCGCATGAAGCTCCTCAACAGCAGGCTTCCCCGACGCCTTAGGATCCGCCTGCGCTCCCTCATCATCCGTCTCCCCATTCTCTGCCGCCTCAGCCTTTTGCCTACACTTGCGCATCTGGTCCCACACCCTCTTGACCGTCTTGGAGTCGTAGTAGGCGAAATCGTTCTCCTCCTTCCACCGCTGCCGGTCGAGGTAGCTATCCAGCTCCTTGGCCGCGACGACCCAGTCGCGGTAGTTGTTCGTCCGACGCATGCTCCGCCTCAGCCTCTCCCGCGTGCCGCGCCAGGTCACAAAGTGTTCGTACACCCAGATGTACAGCCGCGTGTACAGGTACGTGAGCGCGAGGCCCGCGAGCCAGGCGCCGACGAAGAAGAGCATCGGCCACTTGAGGAGCGCATAGAAAATACCCTCCCGCGTCTCGTCTTTCGTCCTGGTGCCCAGGAGCGCCTCCGCGGCCCCCTTGGCCCGGTTCCTCCTCCGGCGAGAACCCCTCTTTGATATCTTTTGGTTGACGGGCGCCCAGTCGTTCTGCGCCGTGATGAACATGTTGGACTGCGTCGCCGAGCCGTTGTTGTAAACGCCGCCGCCGCCGCCGCCATTGGTATAAGTGTGATTCAACATCCCCGGACCCGGGGCCGTGACGTCGCCGGCAGCAGCCGCCGCCGCCGCCGCGACGGCCGACGGATCCTCCCTGTCATCTTCGTACACAGACCCCCGCTTCGTGACGTCGAGCGAGCTCTGACTCCTGAGGCCGGGGGAGCGGAGAGACGTGGTTTCGTCGGGTGACTGCAAGGGGTCGGGGGCCTGGAGAGCCTGTATGAAGGCGGCGAGGTCGGCGTCGCTGAGGAATTTGGTGTCGAACTCGGGGAGGCCGTCGGTGCTGAAGTTTTCGGGCGGGAAGCCGTAAATGTCTGTGTTGCTGCCGCCGCCGCTCGGCGAGGAGCCAAACGAAACTCTGGGTTGGTGGTGCTCAGCCATGTCTGCGGGCTGCGTCGTCTGACGGGTCCAGGCGCATGATATGGCGACACACCAGGAGGGAGAGGAGTAGTTGTAAGGCAGTCAACGTGTGAAGCTACTCAGGGGAACGATGCGTGGGAGAGACACGATGCTGAATGCTGATGAGCCTGGAGGAAGGGATGAATTTGGTCTCCGAAATGAAGAGGAAGCTCCAGTGGCGGCAGGTGTGTAAGGCGAGGTACCTCGAGGTAGTATGTGAATGCGGCGTAGTACGTGTAGCGTGCTGTGGTTGGGTGAAGCGTTGCGTGAGAATGTAAGCGTCGGATAAGGTAGGACGTGGCTAAGGTAATCTGCAGATGGACGGGTGATTTCGGTGCATTTGTTGGGGAGGGAAGTAGAGATGCCTCGGGGTGGTGGTCTGGTCTGTCGCTCTCGGCCAGGGGAGACTACCACTTTCTGGCACCCAGTTCCCAGGTTGCTCTCGAGATGCGCAGACCTCCCTAGGGAATGCGCGCCCGTGATGCCACGGGTCGGATGACGTCGGCAGTAAGCTCGAATTGGATTTCGTTGGGGACCTCGGGGCGCCTGGCACCTTTGCTGTGTATGTACGAAGTACGAGGTACCTACCTTGAGGTAAGTCAGGGAGCACTGGGGACTGTTGGCCGCTCACTAATACCACCCAACCCACGTCGGCTACTGAACCGTGAGATGTGGCAGGGGGCAACAACTTCCACCCCCTCAGGCCCCCTCTGGCCCCCCTCCTGGTCACTTTTCTTCACTTTCTTCAGTGGATGTTGTACCTGAAATAAGGCACTCACCCACTCTAGCGGGATGCGGTGCAAGCAAGGCCACCTTAGTTCCCACCACCACCACCTGTTCGACTAATACCAACATCTGGTTGTCTGTCTGCATGATGTAGGTAGACGAAAAGTATAAGCATCGAGTTATTCTCTCCAAAAAAGGTGTTATCATAGATGTAAGTCAAGATCGCCTCGGCACCTTGAGACAAAATCCCACAAGGCCGCCCGCCAACGAGCCCCTCAAGTTCCCATCCGGACCGCCCGTCTCACCGTCTCCGCCTCTCCGGAATCCACTCGGGAGGAATGTCACCTCACCTCGCCGGTGGCCCCTCGACCAAAACGGCATACCTATGTCTTTGTCCCTGCATGGCTGGCAAGGCTGAGAGGGAACGCAGCAGTGGCTTTTCGATGAGAAGCATCTGACAAAATATGACATGTGTTGACTTACCTAATGTACTCTACACCAGGGCCCAAAGATACTGGATCATCTAGACGTCAGCGTATGTAATACACAACAAATGGATACCTAGGGATATCAAAAATCTTGGAACTGCACAATCGGCGCGGCTGCTGATCTCGGGGAAAACAAACTACTTGTGGCTTGTGAAGATGCTAAAAAGAGCATCGCCACAACTCTCTTCTCCGCCGGCCTGACGTAAGGTATCATATGTCTACCATCAAGCATCCCGCCGTTTCCCGCCGCCCCTAACGGAACGGAACCTTTACGACGTGGACACGGTGGCCTTGGTCACCGCCACCACATCATCACTACAAACAGCGTCCTAGGAAAATCCCTTGATACGCTCAGCACAGCCATTTGATGCCTTTGCAGTGCCATACTCTCCATGACCCAATCATCTTGATGTCAATGTTGTTGATGCAGCAGTAAATCTACGCAGAGCAGGCTAACGATTTGAAAGACGCAAAATAAACCAGATTCCGAATCCCTGGGCCCCAATGAAGAATTCTAGCCTAACAAGCGTACACAATTGCCTCGTCTCTGGCCTTAAAGCTGGATGCCTCGACCAACAGTACTGACTGACCGAGCAGAGCCATCTGGACCGCCAGACCGAGGACTTTTTCCCTTCCTCCGTGTGTGTGGACCGATGCAAACATGCCCGATAGCAGCAGTGTCAGCCCATTACGCAGCTCTTTCTAAACCGTTTGTTCCCCCTAGGATATCAGATTTCGCAAGACGCCAAAGAAGGGGGGAGCCCTTGTTCTGTTGAACACCCCCCCTCGAAGCACTTGACCGGAGCTTTCGTAGACGTGGCACCCATGATTTCGTTCCCGCGTAGACGTTCCCTATTGCCATTCTTGCCATATCGTCCATGTACTTGCTCCGCTCCCGCCGTAGACACCTCCCGCAAGCTCCTTCTAGAGCTGTCGGTTCGGTGTTTAGACGTACTGCGAGAGCCACCGGATACCGTCACCGTATCCTGTTCTCAAAGTTAGCCAAACTACTCTGCACCCTTATCTGCCATGTTTCCGGGGAAAGCAAAGAAACGCACCTTGTCTGAGGACAACGGAGCACATGAAGACCTCGATAGGTCGGATTCCCTCCAGAGGCACCTTGCCCTTGCCGGTGGTCTGATACATGCCGAGCTGGTGACGGAGCTCCTCCTCCGAGATGGCGTCGGGGTGGTCAATCTTGTTGCCGAGGATGACAAAGGGCACCTTGGCCAGCTCCTCCATGGACAAGAGGGCGTCGAGCTCGGCCTTGGCCTCGGGGAACCGCTCGTGGTCCTTGGCGTCGACGAGGAAGACGATGCCGTTGACTTCGGGGAAGTAGTCCTTCCACAGGCGGCGGGCCTGCTGGTGACCGCCGAGATCGAAGGTGGTGAAGCGCACGTTGCCGATGGCGAGCTCCTCGGAAGCTAGAGGCCGGTTAGCTTTCTGGACACGTGCGCAGAGCAGAGACCCCCCATGTCACTGGGCTCTTTTTGCCGCGGAAGAGATATACTCACTGGGGTGAAGAGTAGGCTGGAGGATAGCGACACGGTCGTTCTGATCACCTTGTTAGCAGTCGTTCATACCATCCATATCGTAGCCCAAGACGATCCCATATCGGCGCATCCGACCTCCAGTAGGCTCGTGGTATCTGTCGATACGGGTAAAGCTGGCGGGTGTTGGGGCGATCATACCTTCAGCATGTGCAGGAGGGTGGTCTTTCCGGCATTGTCGAGGCCAAGGAAAAGAAGCTTGGCATGCTTGTTGAGCAAGCCGAGGCTTGAGAGGACGTCGTAGACTAGAGAAGAGAGAGAATACCAGTCAGTCTGTCATGGTCCAACCAGGGATGGATGATGGGCCACACAAGCTACGGCGAAGGCGGCGCGCAGAAGATCAACCCCAGGTGGTGGAGGGGCATCAAGCAGAGGTAGGAGATGAGGGAAAAGGCAAGATACATACACCAGTTAATAATCCACATCTTGACGACGAAGGAGCGAGATTATTGTCTGTATTGTGAGGGTGGTTCGTGGATGACGGTGGAGTCGGTAGGTTGAGGTCGGGGAGGTTTCGATGTTCGGGCTTTTGCTCCCAGGAGACAAGGCGGCGGCGGGCGTGTACGAATGGCGAGGTACCAAGGTCTGGACTGGGCGGGACGGGACTGGCTGAGCTGGGGGCCACCTTACACAGTAGGCTTGGTGGGCTACCAGGAGAGATGGGAGCTGGGTCGGAGAGTCGGGAAGAACAGCAAGACAGCAAGTGAGTGAGAGGTGGTGCGTGCTGGCTGTTCTGGCTGGCGCATTTGCTGTTGCGAATTGCAGTGTGTTGAGGTGGGTGTGCCTTAAATCTCGGGCTGCCACGTATCGGAGATGCTCCACAGATGCACCGAGTGCTGTCAACTGCGGTCTGGGAACTGGGAACCTGCAAAGAACAACGGAAAGACGCAAAATGCAACACAAAAAAAAGAGTCTGGGAGTGCGTCAGGGCGAAACGAAACTCTTTGCCATCTCCTTTAGGAAAGGCTTCACTACTTCACCAGAATGAAAGCCCGAACAGCTGTGTCAGGTGAATAAAGTCAGGCCCATATTGCCCTAGACGCTTAAGTCCTGGGGCCTTTGGTGTGAACAAACACGTAGGTAGTCAGGTTAAATGAGAAAGAACACCTTTGCGAGTGCTTAACATGATGAATTACGCCTTCTAACTGAGCCCACAACGCTTTCCCTGGGTTACATACTATTTCACTGCATATCCTCGATAAGTTAAAAGGTCACATGGCAGAGGAACAGAGTATTGGAGGTCTGCGATATCTCGCAGGAATGCAGTTGTTGATCAGGCTACCTAATGCTATGTGTTTGCTCGACAACCATACAAGCCTTCATACACGCTATTCCAGGGGGTATTCGTGCTCCAAGTCCAGATGCCGCTGGACTCCCAAAATGAGGAAAAGAAAATGAAGCGAAAGTCCATGTAGGCACAGAGCCCTCGTCCATCGAGGACGCTCCGGTATAAAAATGTGATATGTACAATCCAAGAAAATAAAGGACGTGGAAAATAGTCTCATATATGTCATGAAGTCCACTATGCCATGCACCATCCGATGCTAAACGCCGTGCGAAACAATTCTTGTGGTCTCGCTGTAAATGCAAATCAAAAACTCCGCCCAATGTAGTTGTAGGCACCTCTCTAAACAGAGAGGACGTAGTTGCCCTGGTCGATCTTGCCGGCCATGAGCAAGCCCAATTCCCTCATGCGCTCACAGCCGAGGCCGCGCTGAGGCTTGCGCTCGGGGACTTGTCCCTTACGAGCGCGGTTGCAGTACTTTTGGTAAAACTTTTCCTTACGACGCTGTCGCTTGCGCTCCAAGCCCTTAACGATGTCGATGGCGCCGCGGATATGCAGATCGTTGGCAGGAGCCTTGGAGCGACGTCCCTTGGCCATGTGGGGGAACATGGAAGGAGGACGGGGAAGAGACTTGGTAACGGTGAGACCAGGGCGAGATGCCAAGGTCTTGAAAGTAATAGCGCCGTGTCCATTGCGAGGAGAGGCGGGAGGAGACTTCAGCATCTGAGGAGCCGGGGATCTCAGGCGACGGGGGGAAGGACCGTCAAAGAGGCGGCGAGGGGAGCGGCCACGGTTCTTGGGAGCAGGAGAGGCACGACGCTTGACGGGCGGGGGAGAGTGGAAGCGCTTGGGAGGAGTGTGCTCCGCCTTCTTCTGGCGACGGCTTCGGTCGTTCTTGTGGTGCAGATCCTCCATCTTGCCGTGGAAGAACATCTCGTCATCACTGCTGTGGTGGACGGGGTTGTAGATTTCTTCCTCACCCTCGTCCTCTGGGTCCGAAGCAGGAAAGCTGGGGTCGATGTCCTGGGGAATCAACTGCAGCTTCTCGCGTCTGCGAGCGGCCAAGCAAGACATGTAAGCATCTTCCATGGGACGGTCCTCATCGAGAGTACCGCAGACGAAGTCAGTGCTGTCGGGAAGCTCAGGTGTGCCAGGGCGGATCTTGATGCGCTGAGCCCGGCCACGTCGGGCGCGGAGGCTGCTGTGAGAAGCAATGGACGAATCTGAAAGCTGCTCAGGCAGGGAAGGTCTGCGGGCGATGGGAGTGCTGTCGATGTTTTGAATGGTTGAGCGGCCGGGAGTCCACAAGCGGAGATCATCGTCTTCCTCTTCCTCCTCGGAATCGGCGAATCCGGTTTCCTCGTCCGTCTTGTAGCCATCGGAATTGTCATCCTCATCAGAAGCGTCGTCTTCATCTTCGTCCTCATCATCTTCATCCTCCTCGTCGTCGTCCTCGCAGTCATCTTCATCGTCGTCGGCGTCTTCAAGGTTGTCGAGGTCCTCATCATCGTCAATGGCGGTAGCCAAGTCCTCCTCCTCCTGCTCGGCCTCCTCTTCCGCCTCAGTAGCAAGCTTACGAATGGCGTTCTCCTTCTTCAGAGTGTCGTCAATGGTAATGCGACGTCCCTGGGATGAAAAGGCCTGACGGATCCAGTCGTCCTCGCGGGGAATGTCGCTGGCAAACTCGTGGAATTGAGACGACTCATTGTTCAAGTCGGAGGGGTTGGCGGTGATGTACTTCTTGGTGGTAGGAGACTTGACAGAGACGTCAACCTGGGGAGGAGCGAGGGTGGGTCTGGGAGACCTCGAACGGGTCTTGCGAGCTGTCGCCGGCGCAGGTGCTTCAAGTCTGGCGGCTGCCATCTCCAATCGCTGGGGAGGCGTGTTTTGCGTGGAAGCAGGACGCTGAGGGACGGGGCAGGCGAACTTGATGCAAGATCTTCGCTGAGGCTCCTGGGCAGAAGGTGCCTTGACCATGGGCTGGCTGCGGATAGGCTCAATGGGCTTGCTGGGCTTCGCCGCGCAGGCGAACTGGATGCAACGCTTCTTTGGCGCCTCCTTGGCAGGCTCGTCGTGGATGTTCAGAAGACGCATCTCGGGAAGAGGCGGGCTAGGAGTGTTGGCGCGGGACGGGCTGGTCAAGCCAGTATCGCTCGTCAAGTCGGCAGTGGAGGCCAAGCTGATGTTGCTGGCCATGGAGCGACGACGAGCAAAGAAGGACATATCCGGGCGGGCCTCGGGGTCCTCATCTTCGGAAGGGCTGTGGAGCGCCTTGGTCAAGAGAGAGGCGTTGTGGTCGAGGGTAGTGCGTCTGATAGGGTTCCGCTTGAACATGCTGGTGATGGGAGAAATGGGGAGTTGCGTTTCCGGTGGCTCATCGACGTCGGCGGACTCGTCTTCTACCATGGAGGGCATATTTGCGCAATGTGTTGACCAGGCCAGGACGTTTGACGTCGCAGCGTCGTGTTGTGTTGTTCGGTGCGTCATGGTGGAGAGGTGTGATGTTGGTCGAGGTTGGGTGCAGGGGGTGATTTCGGGCTCTCGGCTCGAGGTGTGGCGAATGGTTGATTATTCCAGGCCAAGTCGTTCAACGATGCTTCTAGCAGGCGCAACCGGTCGAAGATCGACTTCGTAAGAGCTGTTGGTAGTAGTAACAGCTGTTGTAGTAATGGCGAGATTGCTTGCGAGAAGCTTCTCCGAGTAGTGGTGGTAGTTGGTGTTGTTTTGTTGTATGGATAGGTTGATGAGAGGGGGTGCCCTCAAGAGGACGTGCAGCTGAAGATCGTCTCGAAAGACAAGTGCTGCAGATCAAGTCGTGTCCCTAGGGACCGTTGTGCTATAAGAACAGAACTGACATCTCGAGGAAAACAGTTGATGTGTGTAGTAGTGGTAGTTGCCGGGGCAGATGAGGGAGATTATAGGATGACCGGGCGTTGCCTCAATGTGAGGCGCGGTAGTGCGATGATTCAGGGTCCTTGGGGGTACGAGAATAACTAAATCGGCGTGCGCGCAGATCCCAGATGAGAAGGGCGAGCGTGAGTGTGGCCGTGGACGGGTGGGCGTGGGCACAAGGATTGGTGTGTGTTGGGCGAGCAGATGACGTCGGGCCTAGCGTGGCGCAGGGAAATGGCGAAAACAGACGGAAAGGATGGTAGACTCGTAGAGTATCCGTACCGTACGTGTGAGTGATGTGAGGGAAGGGAGAGAGAGAGGAAGGATAACGGGCGAGAGGGCGCTGGGATAGATGGTCGGACAGCGAGGAACTTTAACAGGTTCCGGGAGTATTCTTGGCAGTTGGAGGGCCAAGGTGGGATGAAATTCAGGATTTTCAGAGGCTGAGGGCTCGAGCGCTCTTGTCTCCTTTGCCGATGTGTGCGTCTGCTCCGTACGGTGGGCAGTACGGTAGAAAGGTACGGGTACCCAGTGTGGATACGTGGTCGAGTATTGAGCTGGGGGAGACCTGACTTGTTGCTGCTGGGACAGGTTCTGGGAAGACCTGGGAGGAAAGGCGACCAAATAGGTGGCGACGGGTAGAGGCCGTGACTAGGGGAGGTCAGTTGGCCAGTTTTCTTTGGTCAAGGGCAGGCAAATCCCTTTACCGCCTTGTTGGTGCTGCCGTTGCCGCGGGAGGTGTAGACGGGTGTGGGTGTGGAGCGTGGAATGTGGTGCGGGCCCTGAGAGGTGTGTATGTAGGTGGTAGGGTAGGTATTTTGTCCGTGGTGCTGGTGTGTGTGTGCCTGTGTGGTGTGGTGTGGATGCTTCTCGTTTGCTAGAAGACCCGAAAGAAGAGTTGCGGTATTACAGCTCCAGTCAGCTCAGCGCGCGACGAGGAGGTATCGGACAGCGGGAGCTTTTCGTGGAAGCAGGAGGTCGGGAGAAGCGTCTGACTGAGAGGGGAAGAAGTGGGCGCGAGGTGGCTGATTGATTGATGGACTGATGGATGATTGAGAGACCCTCCTAGAGAAAGGGAGACAGGGCGAAGAGGAGAGGAGGATATCCGTAAGTGGGCGCGCGCAGTACGCAGCATGCAGCTCAGTATGCGGTAAGAGTGGGTGGGTTGTTGACTGGGTGCGTGGGATTATGGATATCCGTCTGGCCAGGAGAGACTCGCGGGCGTTTGGTCGCGGTGATTCTCTTGGTAGTCGTTTGTGGTAGAATTGCTCGTCAATGCGTATCCGTACTCTGGCCGCGTCGTCCTGGCTGCTTTGGATTGGAGGAGAGAGGGAGAGATGGTTGTGTGTGTGGTGGTTTTCGGGGTCAGGTGGGCGAAAGGGCCGGGGTGATGGATGGCCAAGAGACTGAGAGACACAATGGCAGGCCGCAGGTTGCAGAATAAGGTGCAATTGGCGTGTGTGGTCTAAGGTGGTTTTTCGGGGTCTTTGTGTGCGTATGTGGTGTGTGGTGTATGGTGTGCGTGTTGTTTCTGCAATCTGCAATGGGAATACTCCGTGGACAGGGAAGACGACGGGTAGCTTCCTGCGAAAAGGGTATTATCCGTAGGCAGGGAGGAC